TAGCCTGCAGTGGGGTACTCTATAGCGAGTACAACCCCTTAGGGTTTCCTATATGTATCCTGCTGCTTTCTAGTGAACCCTCTCTTCTTCTTCATTCTAAACTTCTCTACCTCCTAATCTTTTCAAGGGGGAGGGGTAGTGTAAGAAATTTTATTGACATTCCTTACCGCGACCAGCAACATCGCGTACAGCAGCAGCCGTTGTTCGCTCGAACTGCTAACGGGGCTTCGCCAACTTCACGCACACTGTTTCACCAAACCATGCACCGCTGGCCCGGCCGAGTCGGCCTACGCTTTGGGACTAGCCCGAACCTCGATGCCAGCCTAGCACTAGCTAGCTTGCACGCACCGCGTAACCGTTGTATGTTTTCGCACGTAAGTATTCGCTCATGCATTCGCTCATACTTTGTACTCGTTTGACACCTAGTGCAATCCTCGCTATCTCGTTCCATTGCACCCGTAACAGGAAGTAGGAAATCCATCTAGATTGGCACAATCTGATCAACTACCCTTTTACTTATTTATATTAGATGCATATTCTTCAATGTATTCTGTTCAGCCCATGCAGATCAAAGAAGAAAGTTTGCAACACATTGGCGTCGCATCGTGATCAAGCAAACGGGATTTCAGCGTGCATCTGTGGCGGCGGCGATTGGCGGGCAGGAAAACGAGGCAAGTTTTGCGTGCTTGTTGCCACGATTCTCGCACCGCATGCTGGGCAATTTTGCTGTGGACGCGGCTCGGTCGGTGGGTATTTTCTGTTGGTTTGCCCGCACCGCACACGTTGTGTTGTGGTTTGATACGCTGCTTTTTCCTCTTCTCTCCTCACCCCTCCAGCAAGCAGCACATATGTCGCTCGACTCCCAATTTCCTTCAGCACAATCACCGACATCATTCCGTACCGCACCCTGACCTCCCCCTCCTGTTGAACCCGTTTCGCACTTTCCCCTAGCCAACAGTCGGTTCGGTAGTGGTTCGGGCTCATTCCTTCCCCTCCCTTCCTCAACTCCTACCATGTCATCCTCCCCATCACCCATACATCCTTAGCAGGGCAACAGATGGAGATTAGAATCCTCGTATCAGCAGAGTACCTAGTAATTAGAGCCCTGATAAAATTTCAACTCCCTTGAAGCGCGTAGATGACCGTCAGCAGGAAAACAATAACACCTACTACTCGAGCAAGTACGAGTTGCTCCTACTTAAGCTCATTCGTGCCATACGCGGCGTAAGCAGGTCACTCGAATCTGTCGAGCCCTTATGTGCCCGCTAGCTGGGCGTATTCGCTTCTCCAATGTACATACTTTTGAGGTTTCTCGCCATCATCACCCATCCATCCAAAGGTAGCTAGCTGCTGGTGCTCGTTTCGCCGTTGTACATTACCATGGCCGTCCGTCCCCCTCGCGCGGTTGACCCTAAGCCCTCTCAATGCTGTCCTAGTTTTGCGAGTCAACCGCACGCTAGTAGCACGCGCGACTATTTTCCTCGTGCTTGTAACACCCCTGACTGTAGTACGCCTGCCCTTGAACATAGTGCGCGCGGTTACAGTCCGGGCGCGCGACGCGGGGCCGCACATTACACCTCTGTGTACATTACGACATCCGACCGTTGTAAGACTCCCGCTCGCTGTAATACATCCTTTCGCCGGTCTCGCGTGGCTTTCACCCGTACGAGTAGATTACGTCGCCGACTATTGCTCCTTTGGACCTGGAACCTCGCTATACTGTCACTCGCTACGCTTACTCCGCCTGGCAGCGGCGCTCGTCCGTTTGTCGCAACCGCGTCGCCAGTGGCGACCGCCTCTCACCAGGGTACCCGCTTAGAAAAGCAACAGCACCAGCTGCTGCAACAGCAAGAGGAGCGGGAGCAGGAGCCGTTGCGTCTCCCTCCCTTGTTCCGCCTCGATCGCTTCTTCGGTTCCGCCCCCGACAGCATCTGGAAAACGCCGGGCGATGGCGCAAACAATGGCGGAAGCGGTGGCGCAGGGGTGAAGAAGCGGGGGCAAGCGGATGACGTAGGGGTGGGACAAAAAGGGGGAGAAGCGGGGAATTGGCTGCTGGACCCGGGGGACGGCGCAAGCGCGGGGAGCGCGGAATTCCCCCCCGCGGAGCTCTTTACTGAGCGGAACTTCCCCGTGAGGCTGCCGCGGCGGAAGGGGAAGCGGAGAAAGGGCGATCGGGAGGAGGATGTGGGAGGAAAGACGAACCCAGGCACGGTGGAAGGCGGTTCAGTGGGGCAAGACTCGTGGGTGCTCCCAGTAACGGGGGATGGATTTCCGATGACGCCGTACCAGGATGTGATTGAAGCAGGGGAGAAGAACGTGGACTGTCCGTATCGGTCGCGCGGCGCGGGAGAGAATCTGTACAGATGCGCCATGGGTTACGCCGCACTTGCCGGCGTGACTGGCGGGCTGGGAAAACCGGTTTATGTGGTTACTAGTGACGTGGATAGGGCCGAGGACGTTCCGGAAGGCTCGCTCAGATGGAGTCTGAGTAATTATCCTGAGGGCGTGATTATACGCTTTAATAGCTCGATGCTGATTAGGCTAGAGAAGCGGCTGTTTCTGCAGTCGCACGTGACGATCGACGGTCGCGGCGCGAATGTGATTATACGCGGGGGCATGGTTCTGCAGAACATCACAAATGTGATCATACACAACGTGGCGAGTGAGTGTAATAGGCGGAGCGGGCGAGGCGAGGGAGGGGGAGAGGAGAGGGGGGTTGGTGCGGGGGGGGTGGGGATGTAGGGAGAGGGTTGATGTTTGGTGGGTCTTGTGTATAGACGGAGCGCGGAATTGATCTGGGGAGGATGTGAATGGGAATTTTCGAAATTGAGGGGTTTGGCGTCATGGTATTTTCGTTGAGGCGTTTGGCGAGGGAACACGGAAGTCAGCGGAACGTTTTTCGTTCGTGTTTCCGCAGTGGGTTTCGAGTCTAGTGGCGGATGAGGTATGCGCGCAGTCTCGCGCACCTAGAGAAACCATGACTCGTGTCCCCGACACTCCCCCCCCCCCCCCCCCCCCCCCCTTCCCCCCCGCTCCGCCAGCCCCTCTCCCCACTCCCCCCTCCCCGCAGTCGCTAACTGCATCAACCTCTTCCCCCGCTGTTCTGGCGTTCTGCCATCTCCTTGGCATTCGGCTACCAGCGCGGCGCGTCGCGTGTTGATGCAGTCGGCGACCAATGCGGTGATCATGACGTAGCGCGCATCCCAATGAGTCGACCTCGAAGTTCCCCTTTCCCGTTCAAACCCCCCATCTCCGTCCCCTTCCCCCAAACCCCTTTCCGCGCAGTCGGCGATCAGCGCGGCAACCATGACGTGGTGCACATCGCAAGGAGGCGACCTTGAAACCCTCCCACCCGAACTCTTCCCCTCTTGTGCGCGCGCACGTGTGCATGTGCGTTTTTCCGTGCAGTTAGCGATCAGCGCGGCGATCACGACGTGGTGCACATCGCAATGAGCTGACCCCGAAATCTGTCCCCCCACCCGAACTCTCACCGTCTTGGGCGGTTGTGCGCATGTGCGTGCTTGTTTCTCCGCGCAGTCGGCGATCAGCGAGGCGATCACGACGTGGTGCACATCGCGGGCACGACGCGCGTGTGGGTGGACCACTGCCAGGTGTACGACATGGACATGCGGGTAACCCTCTACCCCTCACCCCTCAACCACCCCACACATACACCCATTCCCCTGCCTCCACTCCCCCACCTTCCCATCCTCACAGCAACCTCACCATGCTCCTTGGAGCAGAGGACGATGGGTTATACGACGTAGACATGCGTGTAACGCTCTACAGCAACTGGTTTGACAAGTCGGGGCAGCGGCAGCCCAAGGCACAGTGGGGGAGGGAAGGGTCCACGTGGCCAGCAGCCTCTACTTGTAACTGCACCTGTACTGCTGCCTCTGCGGTCGTATGACATCTTCTCACCTCTACCTCCCTCTCCCCCTTCTTCTTCCCCTACCCATCCTCACAGCAACCTCACCATGCTGCTGGGTGCGGAGGACGATGGGGTATACGACGTGGACATGCGGGTAACCCTTTACCGCAACTGGTTTTACAAGTCGGGGCAGCGGCAGCCCAAGGCGCGGTGGGGTAAGGTCCACGTGGCAAACAGCTTATATTCCAAATGGTCCTACTACTGCCTCGGCGGCCGTATGTACGCTGCAATTCGCTCCGACCGTAATATCTTTATCGCTGGGGACGCGCGGAAAGAGCTCACCCCGTGGTTCGGTGAACGTGCCCTTTGGACGGAGGGGTTTGATACGACCCCCGTGATTCGGTCGTTTGGGGATTTGCTGGTGAACGGCGCGACTTTTACAGAGTTTAACGCGGATTTGTCGATTTTCGACCCGCCGTATCGGCTGCTGATGCACACTGCGGACCGGGAGCTTGCGCATTTTATACGCGTTAATGCAGGGCCTAGAAACGGGGATGTTCCTGAGCTGCCGTGCACGCCAAAAACATGCTTCCAGTGAGGCTGCGGCAGGATGTATGGATGCAGGGATAAACAATGGTGGATGGAAAAGAAAGGGGAGAGGGATGGACGATGGTGGATGAAAAAGAAGGGACGGTGGTGGGATGGTTGTAGCTACTGTGCACTTGTGCAAGGTGGTTAGCTGCCGCTCTGTCTGCCTGCTTTGTTTTGTACCATGTCCTATTGCATGTTCATGTGAAGCTGAGAATAAATGCATGCCATGTTTGGTTCGTATCCTGCAAGGCTGATTCTGGCTGTTGCAATTTGCATGGAAATCAGCAGATCCTACCTGCAGTTTTGCTAAAAGTGAAAACTATAGTACCGTACATCTTGTACGGAACGGTACGGTACGGTACGGTACCTGCTTCAAGGCTTGCTTGTTAATGGCAAAGGTTGGCTGTATGTACCCTATGCTCGTTCCAACACACAGGCACAGCCAGCTAGAAGCGCCTTTCCTTCCCTCTGCTCCTAACTGTAGTTTCAAATATCACATTACCGATCAATCCTATACGGTATAACCAACCAACTCCCCTCAGTTTGTCTTCTTTTCCGCCTTGGCAGCATCTGAGCCTGCCTTGATCGTTGCCTGCTTGAGTATTTTCTTTGAGCTGCCCCCCTCGCCGGGCAGGCAGAGGAAAGCCAGCAGCAAGCCGATGAGGAAGGCGGGCTGGATGGACGGTGGTTGCACCTAGGAGGAACAAAGGGGATGGGAAGGAGGGGTAGAAACGTGTTTTGAGGCGGCTGAAAAGGTGAGAGGAGGGGACCGATGAGGAAGGCGGGCTGGATGGATGGTGGTTGCACCTTGGAGGAACAAGGGGGGTGGGAGGAGGAGGGAGTTCGAAGGGGTCGGGGGGGTGGGAGGGAAGGGTAGAGATGAGTTTTGAGGCGCCTTGAAATATGACGGCAGCAGGGTAATGAAACAACGTGGGCTGGATGGCAGGTGGTTGCACCTTGGAGGGCCAGGGGGAGGAGGCATGTGGGGGAGGAGCACAGAGCTTAAAATATTAGATCGATACAAAAAAAAAAAAAAAACAGGTACAGAGGCGAGTTTTTGAGTGTATTTGATAAGGGGCCTTGTCAAGACACGGATTCGTGAAGCTGACTGAGGCGACTTTTGAGGCACCTTGAAGCTGACAGTGGGCTCAATGGAGGTTGGAAACTAACCTTGAAGAGGCCAGAGTTACCTCGGTGGCGTGAGGCTACTTTGGATGGGTCGGGGTAGGTGTGAGGGAGCAATATGGGGCGCAGCAGCCCCCAGAGCAGCAACAGGTAGCCCAGCAGCGGCATGCGGGCCGCTCTGAACTGGGCTGCTATGCCCCCCCCCACCGCGAAATAACTGCCCACCACCAGCTGGGGAGGGGGGCAGAGGAGGGGAGGGGGTCAGGAGAGGGTCGTTGACGTGTCACCAGCAGCGGCATACGGGCGGCTCTGAACTATGCTGCTATGCCCCCCTCCACCGCGAGATAGCTGCCCACCACCAGCTGGGGAGGGGGGCAGAGGAGGGGAGGGGGTCAGGAGAGGGTTCTTGAGGTGCACTTTAGAAGCAGCAGCAGCCCCCAGAGCAGCAGCAGGAAGCCGAGCAGCAATTTCAAACTCTATCTTCAGCACTGATTTCAAACCCTGACTAGACCCTCAACCAAAACAGAAACCCAGAAACCTAATCTTCTCACCTCAAGGCGCAGCAGAGGCAGGCCGGGGTCCGTGGCTGGCCTGTCAAACCCTGAACCCTCAACTTGAACCCTAAACCCGAACCTAAGTTTCAACCCCAAACCCAATTCTTAACCCCGAAGTTTAGTCCCCTCACCTCGAGGCGCAGCAGAGGCAGGCCGGGGTCAGTGGGATACTCTGGCATGTCAAACGCCCTCTTGTACTGCTCCAACACAGACTGCCCCAGGAGTACCGCCCCTGAACCCTGAACTCTGAACCCTGAACCCCATATCTCAACCCCAAACCCAAACCCCTCACCTCAAGGCGCAGCAGCGGCAGGCCGGGGTCAGTGGGATCCTCTGGACCATCAAACGCCCTCTCGTACTGCTCCAGCACAGACTGCCACGCTGGCAGGCGCAGCGCCGCCGCCACGTCACCGTCCAGCACGGCGGCGCCCACGTGGCGCGCCACCTCACCGGGGTAGACGACGGCGGAGAGCAGGACAGGTGGCAGCTAGACGGGGTGGCAGAGCTGTGTGATGACGACTGCTATGGGTGAGTCCACCTGGCGGTTGGATATGGTTATGCTGCCAGCATGGATCAACAGCAGGACGGGAAGGGGAGGGGAAAGCAGGGGGGAGGGGGAGGGGGAGGAGTGGGGATGCATGGCAGGAGGGAAGAGGCAGAGCTGGGTGATGACGATTGCTATGGGTGAGTCCACCTGGCAGCTGGATATGGTTATGCTGTCAGCACGGCACAGCAAGACCAAAGGGAGGGTGGGAGAGGGGACGAGAAAAGGGAGGGTTGGGTGGTTGGGGGTGGATTAGCTGAGGGACGGAGGGAGGGGAGGTGGCAGGCAGATGGGTTAGGTAGGCAGAGTTGCGTGATGACGACTGTTATGTGGATACCTACCTGGCGACTAATCACGGTCATGCTGACAGCCAAAGAAACATTCTGCTGATAAATATCTATATGAATATCGTTTTTTTAAGAAGGGGAAGGGGGTGGGTTGGGGGTTTGGACGTGAAGAGATGGTTTGTGCGGGGAGGGACGGGTGGAGGGGGGAAGAGCGGGAAGGGAGGGAGGGGGATTGAAAGGGAGAACGATACATAATGAGGGTTCAGGGAGTGTGTCGAGGAGGTAATGTGCGATTGGCAAGAGGGCGAGGGTTGTGGGGGGAGGGAGGGGTGTTGCGGACTGAAAGGGGGAAGTAGAAAATGAGAGATCAGGGAGTGTGTGCCAAGGAGGTAGTGTGCGATTGCAACAGCCGAGATGTCATGATGGCTTGGATTTTTGAGACCCCAGACGAAGCGGAGCGTGACAGATTTGATTGAAGCTGGAATTCTGCAAGACAGAAAGTCATTTTTTTTTATTAATTATTAATTCGCTTATTGAGTTACCGTGAAACGTGGATCCGCCCGTATTGGGCCGCTTGACACGATCCACCTGAGCCGCAACAGAGGATGCGATGATTCACCTGAAGAGACGTTCCTGACAAGAGATCTCACCTTTTGAGAGGTACTTGACGTGAGGATTCACCTGAAAAGCGGCACTTGCAGCATGACCAGCAGCAACAGTGCCTGGGGAGCGAACTTTTTTAGTCTGTTCCATGCCACCCCCATACTGCCGAAGAAGATGGGAACTCGATTCTTATATGGGAGCGATCGGTGGTAAAATGTCCGAAGAAGGAAGGGGGCAGAAAAGCGATGGTCGACGTCCGAACGAATGAATATGGGACGAAGCGACGGAAGAGCGGACAGAACGGTGACAGGAGATAAGCGACGTCAAGCGTCACGAACGAAACAGATGTTTCACTTCCTCTCACTCTCCTTTTTGTACGCTCCTTCCTCTCGACTTCTACTTCCTAGGTTCTGCAATCTGCGGTTTCTGATAAGAATATTCCATCTTGCGGTAGCAAAAGGCTTGTCGTTGCGTTCGAATCCCAATCTGACACCGTGCCAATATCGAGGGGAGCCGGCCCGCGCAAACTTTGTACTCGCCTGGACCTCGCCATCCCTCTCATCATCCTTGCTCGCTTTGTTGCGCCAGGGAGACACCGTCCAGTTCACTGGAGAGCTGCTGTGAGGGTGGCGAAGTACCTAGCGACGACATCAGGCGTGGGGCTGGTTCTTGGGGGGCAGCAGTCTGTTGTACTTACTGGACACTGTGACTCTTCTTACGCTGACGACGCCGAGACTCACAGGTCTACTCAGGGGTACTGCTTCAGCCTGGGCTCTGGAGCTGATTCGTGGAGGTCCACGCGTTCCTCCTCTGTCTCGACCTCTACCGCTGAGGCTGAGATCTACGCTGGAGCCATGGCTGCACATGAGCTGCGTTGGTTGACCTTCCTGCTCACCGACCTTGGTGAGCGGCCGAGCTCTGCACCGAACTTGTTCACTGACAACAAGGCGTCGATTCTCCTCTGTCGAGAGCCGTGACTGGAGAGCAGAGTGAAGCACATCAACGTCAGGTACTTTCTTCTGCGAGAGTTGCAGGGGCGTGGACAGGCTCGCTTCGACTTTGTGGAGTCCGAGGCCAACACTGCAGACATCTTCACCAAGGCGCTTCCGCCTCGTTAGGTCTCGTTGACACAGGTTCTCGCCTTGCGTAGTCTTGAGTTCTCTGCTTGCTTTGTCTGTACGCTTTACATATACCTCTGTGAACTCTTGAACTGGCCTTGTCGTGTCAGATTATAATACTTGTCTAGCCTGCAGTGGGGTACTCTATAGTGAGTACGGCCCCTTAGGGTTTCCTATTTGTATCCCAACTGTTGCTAGTCCAACCCTCCTTTGCTCATTCTCTCTTGCCTAGCTAGGTAAACCCTAGCTATGGCTCCTCATTCTACCCACTATTCTGACATGGTTTCAGAGCATTTACGCTCCTGGCCTGTGGGCCCGCCTACTGCTTCCGCTGCTACTGTTCTGCTGGTCGCGCGCCCCGGGCGCGCGACACTTTTTCATCCCGCCGCGCGCTCGTGGCGCGCGGCGGTTTTCTGCCCGCCGTGCGCCCCGGGCGCGCACGGCGGTTTCGTCGCCCGTCGTGGCGCCCTCTCCCGTCGCCCGTCGCGGTGCCCCGGGGGGCCCCCGCGGCGCCCTCTCCCGTCGCCCGCCGTGGCGTCACGGGGGCCGCGCGTCCCCCCCATCCCGTCGCCCGTCGAGGCGCCCCGGGGGCCGCGCGTCCCCCCTTCACGTCGTCTCGTCGCGGCGTCACGGGGGCCGCGCGTCCCCCCCATCCCGTTGCCCGTCGAGGCGCCCCGGGGGCCGCGCGTCCCCCCCACCGTTCGCGTCATCCCGTCACGGAGCCCTCGGGAGCCGCGCGCGGCCCCTGCTGCCCCGTCGCGACGCCCTAGGGAGCCGCGCGCGACCCCCCGCTGCCCCATCGCGGCGCCCTGGGGAGCCGCGCGCGGCCCCCCGCTGCCCCGTCGTGATGCCCTGGGGGCCGCCCGCCGTCCCCCGCGCCGTCCCCCGCGCTCCTGCCCCGTGCCACCCGTTTTAGGGTTTGGGGGTGGCGAGTGTGGGGGTGGCGGCTATGGGGGTGGCGGTTGTGTGAACCGTCCCCTACTCCTCCTCCTCCTCCGTCTCCCACTGCTGCAGCTGCCGCTGAGGGGGGTGGGTGTGTGGGAGCCGAAGGAGTGGTGCTAGGGGGGTGACGTGGGAGTGGAGCTAGGGGTGCAGCAAGGGGTGTGTGAAAGGGGGATGGGACAGTTGGGGGAGGTTGAGCGGAGGCTGCCGTCTTGTCGTCCGCAGCACCTGTAGTCCGGGGCGCTGTCCTGGTAGCCAAGAGAGCCTGCTGCGCCTGTCGCTCGTGGGTCCGTTGCTCCTGCCGCTCTTCGTAGCCGCCGAGCCAGTTACTCCAGTAGTCCGGGGCGCTGTCCCGGTAGCCACTGTGCCAGCCGCTCCTGTAGCCCGTGTGTCTGCAGCTTCAGCCGTCGCCTCCCATCTTCTTGCCCCCACAGTCTCTCCTCCTCCTCACTTGCCCTTTGTGAATGCCTCTAGCCTTGCTTGTCCTTGTGAACCTGCTCTATGCCTGCTTGCTGTGCTGATTATACCCCACTTTGACTATGGGGGTGTGTCAGATTATAATACTTGTCTAGCCTGCAGTGGGGTACTCTATAGTGAGTACGGCCCCTTAGGGTTTCCTATTTTTATCCCAATTGTTGCTAGTCCAACCCTCCTTTGCTCATTCTCTCTTGCCTAGCTAGGTAAACCCTAGCTATGGCTCCTCATTCTACCCACTATTCTGACATGTGGCTCTTTTGCTTGTGCTCAGAGTGTGTGGTGACATTGTGATCCACCCTGAGCTTTGTTGCTTTGTGACTGGTCTTGTGACCGTACGTTGTTGGTTTGCTTGACACCCCTCACTTAGGCTATGGGGGTGTGTCAGACGTTATAGTCTTAGTCATGTGTGTCATATGGGGTACATTAGTTAGGGTTAGGTTTATGTACCCCAACCAACCTTAGTCAAACCATTCTTCTGTTCTTGACAACACACACACACACACAGACGCACACACACACACACGCACGCACGCTTGCACGCACGCACGCATGCACTCACGCACGCACGCACGCACGCACGCACGCACGCGCGCACGCACGCACGCACGCGCGCACGCACTCACGCACGCACACACACACGCACACATACGCGCGTGCCAAATTATATATATTTGTATGCTAGGCGTTAGTGAGGCACTCAATAGGGAGGATAACACATTAGGGTTTGTATTTGTACCCATCTCTCTTGCTAGTCAATTGTTTCTAGTTTCTAACATGGTATCATTGAGTAGGCTTGTTCTGCCTGCCCTACTGCCCTACGAGCTGCTGCCTTAGCGCGCGCTACTTGTCAAACTATGTGTATGTTTGTGATAGGCAACAGTGAGGTAGATTGTAATAAGTACAACACTTTAGGGTTTCCTACTTGTATCTCACATTCCTCCTAATGAACCCATTCCGATGTTCCTACATTGTAACATGGTATCATCGAGTAGGTTCGTTCTGCCTGCCCTACTGCCCTATGCGTTGCTGCCTTAGCGCGCGCCACTGCCCTCCTGCTCGAACTCCTGCCCGCTGGCCTACCGCCGCGCCGCGCACTGCCACTGATTCCCGCTGCCCCGCGCGCGCTACTTTGCGCTGCCGCACTGCCCCGCGCACGCTGTTCTGCGCTGCCCCGCGCGCTGCCGCCCCGCGCGCGCTGTCCCGCGCTGAAGTTATTTATTTTTTTCGTCGCAAAAATTCCTGCAAATCGCCGAATGGAGGAAATTGGCGACAATTTCGTTCAAGAAGTCGCAGCCCTCCGTACCGACCTGGACCATACGCGAGCAGCACTCCAGCGGATTGAGGCGATGCTCGCGAACCAGTCGGCAGCCGCCACAGCAGCAGCGGACGCAAAAGCGAATGCAGCAGCGACAGTAGCAGCCGCCACGGAGACACCGCCATTTCATATTGCAGCAACGGCACCAGCTACAGTGAATCTCGAGGCTGCACGTCCGAGGCTACCGGAGGCGTTCGATCCGAGCGCGAAAGGCACGGACATCAGGAGATTCATCGCAACCCTCGAAATTTATTTCGAGGCCCTTGGCTGTACGACCCCGACACACGACGCGATGCGAATTCGGCTCGCGCCTACACTTTTGCAATGCCCGACATTTGAATGGATCTACAGTAGCAGCAAAATCATAGGCGAGGGTTCGTGGGCGCAGTTTCTGGCAGCCCTCATCAAATGTTTCGAGCCAATAAATTCGTCCTACATGGCGCGGCATCAGATTCATCGTCACCGACAATTCAGCAGTGTAGCCCAATACGCGCAGAAGATGGAAAATATTTTCAACTGGATCAACGACCTGACCAAAGGCGAAAAAATCCAGGCATACATCAAGGGACTAAAAGACGAAGTCCGCCGACAGGTGATAGCAGCGAACTACACTAACTACC